AAGAAAGCAAGCCACCAGGTCCAGGATTCGAACCGCAGTCAGCCATGAGGGAATCCAGTGCCTTTAACAACCATGTCACCTGCCGGCCCAACATTTCTCTTTTCTCTCATCCCTCAAATCCAACTTGCTTGAAAAAAAATTCAAGAGTTACAATCAACACGCCTAGGTTCTATGCACCTTGAAAAGGTTCTAAGCCAGAACACAAACAGTCAAGGATGAAATTGGAGCCAGTAGGTGGTATGGTGGTTAAGGCACTGGACTCCCACATGGCCAATCGTGGTTCAAATCCCAGACTTGGTGGCTTGAGAATCACACTGGGCATGTGTATGTGCATGCAGTGTGAAGGAGAATGGAGAAGCGACTGTGGCGTGGCCATCCCCACTGGGGGCATGGTCTCTAACTTTACCTCTCACTGTCTCTCTTAGTGAGCCCATGTACCTTATGGCAAAAAACTGAAAAAAAAAAAAAAAAAGAATGAAACTGACAGGACCGAGAATCAAGGTATTATGTTTAGTACAAGCTGACAAGCTGATATAGGGAGACCTCGCCCCACCAATCCCACCAAAGTCTAAGAACACCCAGTGTCACACTGGCCACCACACAGGGCAACCCCAATCCTGGCATCTGTTTCTTCACTCTGCCTGGGCAGAAAGAGCAGTGAGAACCTGACAGCCATGGGATTTCCAGTTTAAAAACATTTCTGGTGGGGAGGTGGTTAAGGTGGCTGGATCCCACCTGGCCAACAGTGTGAGTCCTGGACCCAGCGGCTTGAAAGACACCCTGGGCGTTGTGTGCATGCTCAAAATCCCAAGAGAAGAATGCAAGAGAAGGAGACTATGGCATAGCCACCTGCCCTTGGGAACAGTTTCTCACTTTTCCCCCCTCTCTCTTCAGTGAGTGCATGTACCTTATGGCAAATATTTTTGGGAGAAAGATTTATGCTAAAGAGCACGTGCACTCACTGGAGAGACAGAAAGTGAGAAGTCATTCTCCCAGGGGGGATGGCCATGTCACAATCCCTTATCTTTCAGGATTTTGAGCATGTACACATACCTGCACGGTTTCGAGCTGCCGGGTCTGGGACTCAAACTGCAGCCAATCACGTGGGAGTCTAGCACCTTAACCACCATGCCACCTGTTGCCCCCCCCCATGGCAAATTTTTAAAAAGTAGGTTCTGGAGTTAACCTCACGGCCTAGTGATTGAGGGGAGCTAGATCCCACATGGCTGAACACAGTTCAAATCCCAGCCCAAAAAATTAGGGAAAAAAAAAAAAAAAAAACAGGGACCAGCAGTTGGCGTGATGGCTATGTTGCTGGATTCCCATGTAGTCAACCATAGTTCGAGTACCAGATCCGGTGGCTTAAACTCACGCCAGGCGCGTGTGCGTGCGTGCCCAAGATCCCGAGAGGAGAATGGAGGAGAAGAGATTGCGGCGTGGCCACTCCCCCTCGGGGGTGAGTTCTCGCTTTCTGTCTCTCTGTATTTCTCTGTCTTCCTGGCGAGCGCAAGTGCCCTGTAGCAAAAACCTCTCCAAAAAAAACAAAAACAAAAACAAACAGTGAGCACATCTGTGTGCATATCCTAAGTCCTGAATGAAAGCTAGAATGGAGAATAGAGAAGGGATTCCAGGATGACCACGCCCCAATGGGGGTGCTCTCTCCCTCTCTGCACCCCTGAGTCTCTCTGGCTAGTACACATTCACTCCGGCAGTGAAAAAGAACACACTGGCTCCAGCAGCAGCACCTAGAACCCCAGATCCCTGCCCCAAGACCAGTGGTGGGCCAGAACACACACAGCACCAGACTCTTGCCACTAACTGCAAACACTGCACTTCCACGGATTCGATTTCCCCTGTGTGTGGATGATAGTTTAGCTTAGAACTCTTTAAGTGAGGAGGAAGAAAAGTGATCCCTCCGTACGGCAGGACAGAGTGCAGGCATCCTCCCACCTGCTGCCACCCTCTGACGGCCTCTCCTAGCAAGGCTTGCCTGTGTGGGAAGCTTACCCAAACCCTGGACCGGGAAAGGTCCAGTCCCGCAGAAGGCAGGTAAGGAAAGTATGAGCTGGCATGGGGAAAGGAGGAAGAGCAGGAAATAAACATTGCGCCACGCTGCCACACTGAGCCAAGGGCAACCACGATTCGGAAGGGGAAGATAGACCTGCGGCTACTGCCACACTGAATGCGTGGAAGGCAGGCGTTGGGGGGTACTGAGAGCTTCTGGGTAGACTGGGCAGACGCTGAGTTTCAAGCAGTGACTAAGGACCCCGGGGAAGGAGTCGAAGTCAGAGGGTATCGCCCTAAACATAACCCTGTGGCTCACCCTTTTCCAGAAGGCTCACCACATGTTTTTGCTCTGTGAGCAGCACTCTCGATTTTCATAAATCCTATAAAAGGAGAAACTGAATTACAGCCTTTTTCTTCAATAGTGGCAAGAGAGGAATGCACCAAGTCTGCAACTACAGCTCCACACCCACACAGACAGGCCTGATCTTAAATGACCAAGGGTCAACCACGGCAAGCCCTGTCCTCTGAGCTGTAAAGTGCAGGAAGCCGGGCTCCAACACGGGCACCTACACTTTCCAGCCCCAGCCTTATAAAGGTATCCTGGTCCTTGGGCAGCAGAACCAAAACAATCAGGCCGTGAAGGAAGGCACGCCAACCTTTTTTTTTTTTTTTTTTAAAGAATGACTTAATTTCATTTATTAATGTTAATAATATTATTTTTAAAAGAATGATTTGTTTAATTTTATTAACTCACTCATTTATTTTTAATTTAACTAGAGACAGACACAGAGAAGGAAAACAGGAAAGCAAGCCATCAGGTCCGACACTCGAACCATGGTTGGCCATGTGGGAGTGTCCAGCGCCTTAACCACCACACCACCGACTGGTTCCTAATATTATTTTTTAATCTGACCAGAGGGAGACACAGAGAAAGAGACAAAAAGTGAGGAAGCAAGCCGCCAGGTCCGGGACACGAGCTGTGGTCGACTAAGAGGGAGTCCAGCTCCATAACCACTAAGCCACCTGCCAGCCCCAAGGGGATCCAATCTTTTCTTTTTTAAAAAAAATTATTTATTTGATTGTCATTATTAATTTGCTACAGGGCACATATGCTACCCAGAGAGAAAGAACCTAAGAAAGCAACTATCTAGGTCTGGGACTTAAACTGCAGTCAGCCACGTGGGAGCCCAGCACCTCAACCACCACGCCAGCCACTCACTGGCCCCAACAGGATCCGATTTTGCCAAAGCTTCTTGGGAGACAGCTCAGCGATCACATCTACATTTCCGTTTTCTCACTGTCCCTAACACAGGACTCATCACCCAAAAAGCAATTACATATTTAGTGAATCTGACCCACAACCTACGTAGCCTTCTAACTGAGAGACACGAAGCAGACAGTGGGATGAAGCAGAGCTCGGCTGGAGAAAGACAAGCAGGTCTAATACGTCATTTCCCTTAAGAATCAAGTAAATGCTTCATGGATATGAAAGCAGGAGAGGCCAAGTCTCAAGGCAAGAATGTCCCAGTCAAGGATTCCTGTGAACAAGCCCTCTTCACCTCCCAGAAAGTCTCCATTCACTCAGACTGTCCTGACGTGGCTCAGGAGAAGCAGGGTTTCCGAGGGTTGCAGAGTTCTGGGGCACCCCTGTAAATTCCTACAAAGGGCATTCGAAGTGACGTGGCCAACAGTATCACCCCATCACCAGTGTCACCAACATGTACTAAGAGTCTCGTTTTCAAATGAGGAAACTGGAGGCAAAGAACCACACCATGAAGAGCAGAGCAGGGACCTGAACCCAGGCTCCAAAGAGCCAGTTAAGGAAAGGGACCAGAGCCACACAACTGAAATGCATCTGTCACGTGTGGCTTCACCCAGGAATGAAAGTTTAGAGTATTTCCAGGAATGACCTACACATTTTCCAGGCAGTGGTTAATAAATGCTTTCAAAATTGAAAATTTCTGTAACAACGAAATGAGATGCAGTTCAAGACCTCGTGCTCTGTCCGGGCCCTGTGAAACTTTACCTGGCTAGCAAAATAACTGACTTCGGAACGACGGAGGCCACATGCTCTAGGGGAAGGTAAGGGAAAGGCCTGTCACTTACCTGGGTACCCGGTCTACTGCTCTGACTAAAGCTGGAGGTCAGAACCACAGTCGCTCCTGGGACAAGACATCTGCCTTATGGGTGTCTGATACATATTAACAGGTTGGCCCCCGAAGCGGGACATGTGGAGAGTACCACTTATATCCCACCGGAAGGAGTATTTCCCTGCCAAGTGACACCTGAGAAACGTCATACCACTGCTCTAACGGTTCAGCTGACTTAAGTCTGTATCCTCGGGTCGGGTCGAGATGAGCTGGAGAGCCCAGGATGAAGAGTGCTGCTGGAATACAATGTAAAGGGCGCCCCCTGGAGTGTGAACAGTGTCCTGACGCCTGCCCACTCAAACACCTGTTTGTTTGCTGTATGTTTCTCCACTTCCTCTTACTTTGTCTGTCATGGATGAAATCTCACCAAACCATTCCAATATCCAAGCAAGACCTACCAATATCCTTACAACCTGAAGAAGCCTAACAACATGGGAAAACTCATCTCCACACAGAATGCCAATATATTAAAAAAGAAGAAAGGGGACCAGCAGGTGGCCTAGTTTAAACTGCTGGATTCCCACATGGCTGACCGCAGTCTAAGTCTGAGTCCCAGACCTGGCAGCTTGCTTTCTCACTTTATGCCTCTCTGTCTCTGTCTGTCTGTCTCTTGGGTGAGCACTATGTGCTCTAAAACAAAAATTGAAAATACAGGGACCAGCAGTTAGCACAGTGGCTGTCTCGCTGGACTCCCATGTAGTCAGCTGACCACAGTTCGAGTCTCGGACCCGGTGGCTTAAACTCATGCCGGGCGTGTGTGCATGTGTGCCTAAGATCCCGAGAGGAGAATGGAGGAGAAAGGATTACAGCACCCCCATCCCACCTGGGGGGTGATTTCTCGCTTTCTATCTCTCTGTCTCTCTCTGTCTTTCTGGCGAGCGCACGCGCCCTATAGCAAAAAACTCTCAAAAAAATTTTTAAATACATACATAAAATCAAATAAATCTAAAATTTTTTTCTGGAGATTGTTGCTGTAAAAGGTGCATGTACTTGCCAGAGAGACAGAGAGGGAGACCAAGAGACAGAGATAAATCATCACCCAGAGGGGATGGCCATACTACAATCCCTTCTCCTCCATTCTCCTCTCAGGATTTTGAGAAAAGCAGGTCTAATATGGTCTCTCATGCCTAGTATGAGTTTTTTAAGTTTGGTACTCAAACCATGGTTGACGATGAGGAAGTCCAGCAACATAGCCATTACGCCATCCACTGGTCCCTGTTAAAAATTTTTAAAGGACCGGAGGATGGTGTAATGGTTACGTCATTGGACTCCCATGTGGAATCCCGGATCCGGTGGCTTAAACTCAGCCAGGCGCGTGTGCGTGCATGCCCAAGATCCCAAGAAGAGAATGGAGGAGAAGGGGTTGTGGCGTGGCTATCCCCCCTAGGGGGTGATTTCTGGCTTTCTGTCTCTCTGTCTCTGTCTTTCTGGCGAGTACATCTGCCCTATAGCAAAAAGATAAACCTCTCCAAAAACAGGAAAGGAGGGTCAGCAGGTGGAGTGGTAGTTAAAAGCGCTGGATTCCCACATGGCTGACTGTGTGTGGTTTGAATCCTGGACCTGGTGGCCTGCTTTCTCTTTGTCAAATTAAAAAATAAAGGGAACCAGCAGTTAGCGTAATGGCTATGTTGCTGGACTCCCATGTAGTTGACCGCGGTTCGCGTCCCGGACCCGGTGGCTTAAAACTCATGCTGGGCACATGTGCGTGCGTGCCCAAGATCCCGAGAGGAGAATGGAGGAGAAGGGATTGCGGTGTGACCATCCCCCCTGGGGGGTGATTTCTCGCTTTCTGTCTGTATGTCTCTCTCTCTGTCTTTCTGGAGAGCGCACGCACCCAGGGATGTCAGGCCACAATCCCTTCTGCATTCTCCTCTGGGGATCTTCGCACATGCCCAGCGTGAGATTAAGCTGCCAGGTTCGGGACTCAATCTGCGGATGACTATGTGGGAATCCAGCAACATAACAATTATGCCACCTGCTGGTCCCAATAAATAAATATTTTTTAAAAAAAGAGGGGAGGAAGGAAGGAGAAAGTTTATCCTTCATTGGGAAGGAACAGGCTTTATTATAACCCCAGAAAGCAGGAAAGAAGTTTAATAAGTAGAAAGTAGAATGCTGGCAGATCAATTTAATTTCATCTTTACTACTGTAAACCCTCACCTGCTCTATTAAGGAAGCTTTGCTCCCAAAGTTTATACAGTACTGGAGCTGGCTAGGGGCATGGTGGTTAAGATGCTGGACTCCCACTGGCCAACCATGGTTCAAGTCCCAGACCTGACGGCTTGCTTTCTCACTCTCCCTCTCTGTCTCTCTGCTCAAACTGAATACTACTACTAACATAATAAATAAAATTAAATAATTTTTTAAAAAGTTACACACAGTACTGTTCTTTCAAAGGGTTTGGGAACTACATATTCCTTCTCCAACCTCAAGAGAACTCTTGGAAGCCCCAGGGCAATGACACATAGCAGGACCTGAACTCTCACACCAGGCCTTCATCCATCTGCCTACATCTTTCCACAGTGCTGCCACCCACCCAGGGATAAAGGTGTCACTGGCCTCTATGAGGTTTTGTCAGACATAGTGAAGACCACCACCTCTTTCCCCCACTTATCTTGTTCTTGCAGATGGTGTGTGCGCTTGCTGGAGAGACAGAGAGAAAGAGAAGTGAAAATGCATGCCCCATGAGGAATAGTCACACCACAACCCCTACTTCACCTCTCCTTTTAGGGTCTTGGGCATGTACACACACGTGTCTAGTGTGTTTCTCAACCTGCCAGATCCAGGGCTTGAACCGTGCGTTGTTCACATGGGATCCAGCACCTTACCACCACCACACAGCAGGCTGGCTCCTTGCTACTTATGCCTTGTTCTCAAAGTGTTATTTTTCCTTCCCAAGCACATAGCATCCCTTTAACACAACCAATCTTTAGAAAATCTTGAAATACTCACACCAATCAAGTTTTCTAGCCAGAGAATAGACATAGAGATTGACACTTATATCCTGAGACTTGTCTATGGAGAGACAGAGACAGAAGCGAGAAATCACCCCCTAGGGTGATGGGGGGATGACCATGCCACAATCCATTCTCCTCTCAGGATCCTGGGCATACACCGACATGTGCCGCAACTGGTCCGAGACTCGCCAAGGTCAGCCACGCCACATGGGAGTCTAGCGCCTTCACCACCACGCCACCTGTTGGCTCCGTGGACGCGTAGATTATTAACTCTGAGTCCTACACCAGTGACCGATTCTGAATAAGTAACTACTCTGTATCTGTCAATATCAAGGTGGGGAAGTGAAGAGGAAGGACCGTGTACATTAGGTTCACAAGGCACGCGATGACGGGATGCAGGTAGCAGCGCACAAAAGAGTGAAATGCTTAAAGTACTGCTGAGAGTTAGAGACATGCTTCCACACCACGCCCACTGTCGGTGACAATCAGTGAAAATTACATGGAGACCACATAATATCAAAAGGAACATCCAAAAAGTAATGGATCTATAGCTTGCAGTTCAGTAATCTATAAAAAGCAACAAAAAATCCCAACTGGAATGCAACTACAGAAAACTTAGACGCTGTTGAGACAAACAGTTCCAAAATGCACAAGTGTAGAAAGGTTGCAGTATTATTAGCTAAGGACTTGAAATGAAAAAACAACAGAGAGCCCTATTGTTTTTTCCCTCATAAGGAAACAAAATTTCTTTTTCTCAGGGTCCCAGCGCTTGCAGGAGGGCCATCCCAAGAGGATTGGAGACCTTCCTAAAGGCTTCCAGGCACAAGGTAACTCAGAACAAGTATACCCCAACTCCACTGGGAAAAACCACCCTGCCCTGCACAAACACTCCAGCAGGCACTACCACTGACACAGCTGGCACGGCCGGTAACTCTGACCCTGGACACCACTGGATCGCTGGACCCGGACAAGAACAGCACTGTGGTTCCTGCCCTGAGTGTTCTGCCACAGAAGAATCTGGGAAAGGAAGGCTAAATAAACGCACAAATAAGGCTGCAAAAAGGAGCTATCAATATATACCTAACACTAATCAACTTGGCTCGGACTGATAGCAAATACTTTTTTTAAAAAAGATTTATTTTAATTTTATTTATTCATTCATTCATTCATTTTTCTTTTTTACCTTGATGAGAGAGAGAGGGAAAGTGAGAAAGCAAGCCACCAGGTCCAGGACTTGAACTGTGGTTGGCCATGTGGGAGTGTCCAGTGCCTTAACCACCACGCCACCTGCTGGGTCCCCCAAATACATTTTATAAACCAGCCTAGAATTGGTTCTTGAAAGATACCTCTAGAATGATAACCTCTTGACTCGAGTGCTTTGCGTCCATACATTGCCATTGTCAGACTCGAAGACTCTATTACCATCAGGCCTTCTATTTTGAATTCCTCTGGACCTACCTCTGGAATTTACCCCAGACAGGTCTTATTCACTTTGCTTCAAACTGCCCAGGAAGCAGTTCTCCATCCCTAAGAACTTCATCCTGCCACACCAAATCCAAACAACCCTGCTTTACAATCTCACAGATCTACTCCAAACATGCCACTGGAACATTAAAAATGGGAACCCCACTGGACACCCATCTCCGCTTGTTCCAAACACAAGGGAAGGCAACCCCATAACCTAGGCCATAGAACTACTTCAATTAAAGGCCCATGTGGACACACTGTGACACCATTCTCTGGCTGCACTTGAGCACTTCACAGTTCATTCCCGATGAGGGCTAGTGAAACTAGAGAGTGACAAGAGGACAGTGGCAACTTCTCACACAAACTTCCTGGGTCCCCTCAAGAGATCACAGAAAAAGGCTGATGTTCACCCACAGCCAACACTGGTATTAGAACTGCTACTCCTTGAAGAATTCCGCCATACTATCAAAAAACTAACCCCCCCCACCAACACCCAAAACCATTTGCTTAGGACCCCTTCTCTCCCCAACCAGAAAAGACATTAATCCAAAATTGGCTTACCCTCTCTCTCTCTTCCTCCTGCCGTCTTATTCCTTCTCCTTTCCAGGGCTCCTGAACTTTCTGTAAACAAATCGTCTAGGTTACAGGGGCCAGGAAGGGCTCCCCGCCAGAGAACCCTGGAGGACCTCAGGAAATCTCCGACTGTCTGCAGTCAGTCTGGAAGGGCAGGCAGACCCCTCCCCAACAATCCAAAGACGGAAGGACACAGTCACCGTTCAGAGCCGCCCCCTACATAGGTGGATACGGGGAAATGCACCCAATGGCCAGGAACTGCGAACTCTAAGCCCGCGCGGGTCCCACTCCCAGCCTCACACACTGGCTCTGGCTCCCAGGCCAAGGGTAATCGGGGCTCCGGGAACAGAAGAGCTGGACGAGGAGGAGGGTCCCTGCCCGTGAGGTGCGGCTTCCGAAGGCAAAGCTGAGTGCTGGGGGGATGCACAAGCCCTCGGGTCGGGCACAGTGCCAGTTCAGGCCCAGCCACTTCCTCTAGCCTTCCCCCACTTCTGCGAGGACTTCGCCTCCTGCCTACCCAAGGCCTTGTGCCAAGAAGTACCTCCCTCAGCCTGCACTGTGGTCTGTCTACTGGAGACCCCAGCTGGTCCCCCAAAACCTTCCCTCTCCTGAGACAGTAGCTAGAAGCCTTTTCTGGATGTCGGCCCC